AGGAGAATCGTTTCGATTCAATGCAGAGAGCTGAGATTGCGCCACTGCATTCCAGCCTGGACGATAGAGTGAGACTCCATCCAAGTAAAAAACAAAAGTGAAAAAAAAAAAACCAACCCAGCTTTATAGAGATATAGTTCACAAACTGAAAAACTGATCCATGTAAAGTGTACAATTCAATGGTTTTTTAAAATATATTCACAGATATATTAAAATAAGCAACCAGTACCACAGTCCATTTTAGAACATTTTCATCACTCCAAAAGGGAACCATGTATACTATACCCATCACTTCTCCACTCCCCAGACCTCTTCCCCAAGTCCTAGGCAACCACTAACCAACTATCTCTGTAGACTCCCTTGTTCTGGGTCACTCATATGAATGGAATCAGGTAGTATGCAGTCTTTGGTGACTGGCTTCTTTTACTTAACCTGTTTTCAAGGTCCCTGCACGTCATACCATTTATCAGCAGCTCATTCTTTGTTATGGCTGAACAGTATTCCATTATATGCATACACCATATTCAGTTAATCTACTCATGGGCTGATGAATCGTGGGGCTGTTTCTACCCTTGTCTATTACGAATAATGCTCATTTCTCTTGGGTATATATGGAATTGCTGGGTCACATTATAACTCTACGTTTAATCGTTTGAGGGACTGCCAGACGGTCACATAGCAGCCGCACCATCTTACATTCTCACCAGCAGTGAGAGTTGATTTTTCCACATCCTCACCCACACTTATTTTATTTTTCCCATCCTATGATTACCCATCCTAGTGGGTGTTAAGTGGCATTTCACTGTATGTTTGATTTGCATTTCCTTTATGACTAATGACAGTGAGCATCTTTTCTTTTCTTTTCTTTTTTTTGAGACGGAATTTCACTCTTGTCGCCCAGGCTGGAGTGCAATGGCGCCATCTTAGCTGGCTGCAACCTCTGCCTCCCGGGTTCAAGCGATTCTCCAGCCTCAGCCTCCTGAGTAGCTGGGATTACAGGCACCCGCCACCATGCCTGGCTAATTTTTTCTATTTTTAGTAGAAATGGGGTTTCACCATGTTGGCCAGGCTGGTCTCAAACTCCTGACCTCAGGTGATCTGCCCACCTCCGCCTCCCAAAGTGCTGGGATTGCAGGCGTGAAGCCATCGTGCCCGGCTAACAGTGAACATCTCTTCATGTGCTCACTGGTCATGGGCACATCTTCAGGAAATGTCAAGTCTTTTTTCCATTTTAAAACTGGGTTGTGGTCTTTCATTGTTGAATTGTAGGAGTTTTTTTTATACGTTCTGGATTGTAGACCTTTGTCAGATACATGATTTTCTCCCATCCTATGGGCTGTCTTTTCATTCTCTTGATAGTGTCTTTTGATGCACACGTTTTGAATTTTAATGAAGTCCAATTTATTTTTCATAGAGCCTTTTGTATAGTTTTAAAACTTATAGTGTTTATAAGATAGTACAAATATAGATACAAAGAATAATCTAATGAAACCACATGTACCCACTATGAAGATTTCACATAATCATTTGACTTCAGACTTTCAGTGACTGAGGTTTTAGGTGTGGGCGAGTATTTCTGAGACTGGGTTTTGCAGGTTCTCTGCGAGGTTCATCTTTGGCTCCCTAGTATTTCAGTTGACACTCCTGCTCCCAGAAGAGGAGACTCCCTCCTCTTCTTGTTCTTCGGGGCTCTCACTCTATCTGTTGCCTGCTGCCTCCAGTATCATCAACTTCTCTCTCTAAGTTCTTTCTTAGCAATATCTAAAGCTGACCTCTGTCTTTAAAAAGTTGAGTTCTTCCACACTGTGCCCTTCTCTGGCTGCCTTCCTCCAACCAGCATCTGTGTCATTAGTAGCACAGATGCTCCTTGAGTGACTAACGATGTCATGTTCTGATAAACCCATTGCAAGTTGAGAATATCCTAAGCCAAAAATGCATTTAATATGCCTAATTTGTGGAACATCATTGCTTAGCCCAGCCTTCCCTTAAATGTGCTCAGAGCACTTGCACTACCCTTACATTTGGGCAGAATCATCTTACACAAAGCCTATTTTATAGTAAAGTGTTGAATAGCTCATGTGATTTATTGAATACTGCACCAAAAGTGAAAAACAGTGATTGTATTGGCACTTGAAGTACAATTTCTACTGAATGCCATCACTTTCATACCATCATAAAGTTGAACAATGCTAAGTTGGGACTATCTGTACAATTTCCCTCAAGTATATCTTGGATCTCTCACTCTCACCCCTGGGGTGAAAAACCTTCAGGGCTTTGTTTTCTCTCAACTCCCCTGGGCCTGGGGTAGCAAGGTCTTCTCCCGGGAACACAGTGCTTGTGAGAGTCTGCAGGTGGTTGCAGGACTGGGAAGGTTTCTGTCCTGTTGAAAAATACTAGCACTTAGCACAGTACCTGATACACAGTAAGTACCCAAACTATGAAGATGACGATGACCACAGGCACCCTCACCACCAGCACTGCAGGTTGTGCCAGAAGGGAAAAAGCAATTCTGACAAAGCTTTGGCTATGACGTTCCCTGTGGGCGCCCCTCAAGGTGCCTCCCTCTGTCACCCTCCACCCCCCCTCCACACACAACTTGAGAATATCCAGCTTTCTCCATGCTTCTCAGAGAGGCCCCAGAGGGTCACTCTTTCCAGCAGGGTAAATTGTGGCAGTTCCTGTGGCACGGAAATAAGCACTCCCTGGCACAAAATGCACCCCCACAACCCTTCACCTGTTAACCACTGCCCCTTTCTTGCTTCTTAAAGCTTAACCATCTCCTCCTACCAGTTTCCCTTCCCATGGTGCCTTCCATTTATAAACTGATTAGGTCCAAGAGGGCCTGGGCACCACTGGACTTCAGGCCCTCTTGGAGGCTCCAGAAGAGTTAAAGGTGTGAAAGGGGAAGGGAGCCCAGGTTCTGCTGGGGACCCAGCCTGACTCCTGGGTCTCTATAGCTTCGCTATCTCAAGGTGGAGGGTGGGGGAGACCGCAGTTTCAGGGGAATTAGGGGAGACCTCAGTTTCAGGGGAATTTGGTGCTGTTTTCCAGTCTTCCCAGCTTCTTGTACTCTTGTTAGATTTGGGGGCAATTTCCCAGAAGAGAGTCTGGAATCTACGACCGGCAAGAGAAAAGGGAAGATAGGCTGGCTGAGGACGTCTGCACCTACAGCTCTACAGTCCAGACTCAACCCCCAGAGACGGCTGCTCATCCCCACCAGGGGGCCACTTTGTGCCAAACCAGAGAAGGACGGGTGGGGAAGGTGGAGAGGCCAAAATAAAAAAATCTGTCAACTTGGAAAGAGGAAGTAGGCAAGGTCAGCCGTGTGTGGATTGCAGGCTTCCAAGCTGATGGCGCTGGCGCTTCAGAACCCGCTGCCTGCTGGGAGCTGAGCACGGGGCTGACGGCTTGCGCTGGTTACGGAAGAGAGGAACCAGAGTTCATGGGTGCCACCTTGCTCAGGAATCCTGCCTGACCCCCTTGAAAGTTAAGCTTTTCTCCTAGTGGTTCTTTCCTCTGGCCCACGACCAGGCAAGCTCGCCCAACCTACCGTCTGTCCCCAGCTTCCAAACTGCTTTCAAACCCCTCCCCTCTTAGTCTCCAAAAGAGTGGATGCCTGGGTCTCCTTGGCTCCTCTGCCAAGAAAGTTTGGGTTTCCTCTGGCACTTCTCCAGATAAACCCTCCCAGCCTCCGTGGTCCTCACACTCACCTTCCCCAAGGGCTGCAGCGCAGGGCCTGCCCAAGACCCCACCACACCCTGTCTGTCCTCACCTGGGGGCCACACCGCAGTTCACACCTGGATGTGCAATGGCCCCCTGAGGTTCACTGGTTCCTACGAGGAACTCGTGATCAGCCCGTAGGGGACAAAACCGTCTACCCAGCCTCTCAGCACAAGAGAGGCTCCCTGTCCTCTCCCTTTCGCAGGCATCCAAATTCTGAAGCTTCCACCTCCTGAGAACGTCTCTCCTTTCGGCCTCCCTCTCTTTAGCTGGATGACCCCAAATCTCGCCCTAACGCTTCTCCACTGGCCCCCTCTCCGTCACCTGCTAAGGAAGGGCCACGCTCCTTAAGCTGAGGCGCCAGCAGATTTACAAGTTTTGAGGGAAAACAACGTATTTCTCTGGTTAGGCCACTCAGGGCATAAAAGACCCAACGCCCTGGGAGACCCCACGACGGGGCTTCCTTTTGGAGTCTGCATAGAGCAGAGCGTGCAGGGCTGGTCGTCCCGTTGCGGGCTGGCTCGCCAAAGACACCCCTTCCTTGCCTTGCTCCCCCAGGCTCTTGAGAGAGCCCTGGAGAGTTCTGGAAATCCTGCTACCTTTAGGACCTGGGGGATCCGAGTGGGGGGGGTCACCTTCCCCGCCCCCAGCGAAGTCGGCGCCGGAACTGCCCTAATGGAAACCAGCCGCCAGGCACTCCAGGAGGGCTCAGGCCGACCCTGGGGGCCATCAGAGGTGTGCCAGGCCGAAGGAGCTCGCGGCGGCTGGAAGATGAACTTGACATCCCGGCTCCACCGACCCGTCAGCGGCTCGCACCCCATCCCCACTCCGGCCGGACCAAAGTAGAATCCGGGGTGTGCACGTGATTTCCCAGGGAGGGCGGACTCGGGGCTTTCCCTGTCGCACCCTCCATCGGGGGACCGTCCCCAAGTCCCCGAGAGTCCCTCGGGCAGGATCCTTAGGGCTCAGAGCATAGGAGGACCTGGCTTGCCTGGTGGAGGCGAGCAGCCGAGGGGTCGGTGGAGCTGCGCCCCAAATGAGTTCCTGGCGCGCGGTTCTCCCCACCCGGACCCTTTGTCCGCCTCCTTCTCCCTCATCCCGGCCCTAGGCTCAAGGGACCCAGGCGGCAGCGGCGGAGGTGGCAGAGGCAGAGCCCAGAGGCGCAGCCCTGACAGCTGGGACGGTCTCACGTGGAGCCGTCCCCGGGATCCGCGCAGTGACGGCGGGGGACGAGGGGGTGGGTAGGCTGCGGGCGCGCGGGATGGGGGCTGGGGCGCAGCCCGAGAAGTGGGAGGGGATCGGGTGAGGGGTGGTCTCTGAGGAGGAGCCAGGCTGGACCTTATTGTTCCGCGCTCGGCCGGGGAGGGCGCGGGGCGTTCGGCTTCCCATGTTCCTCTCCCCGCCCCCGCCCCGTGGGCGCGAGAGGAGGCTGGGGGCTCCTTGTGCACCCGAGACGCCGCTGCCTGGCTCGCCGGGTGGGGTGTGGGTCCTCCGAGCGGTGCCGGGAAGGAGGTGCTCTCTGCCCGCGCTCCCAGGACTGCTCTACCCAGGGCGGGGGTCCGGAGTGGGCCGACCCCCGCAGCGCCCTGGGTTGGCGGGCCCAGAGGCTGAAGGCAGCGAGGAGCTAGGGTCCTTCACCCTCGTCGCATGCCTCACCAGGAGTCGGCGTCCCAGTTCCCCGCGATGGCCGCGGGCCGCTGCCGTACGGAGACGCCGCGCGGACTCCGGAGCGCCCCTTCCTAGCGGGGCGCAGCTTTTTCTTGTCCCCCGCCGGGCCAGCGGGATGGGGGGCGGAGGGTCGGTCCTGAAGGTCTGCGCGGACCACCGCGGGGGCATCAACTGGCTGAGCCTGAGCCCCGACGGGCAGCGCCTGCTGACGGGCAGCGAGGACGGCACGGCCCGGCTCTGGAGCACCGCCGACGGCCAGTGCTGCGCGCTCCTGCAAGGTAGACCCTCCCACCCCCTCCCTGCCCTCTTCGCCGTCGCTCACCGGCCCCAGACCGCGGACCCCAGCTCCTGCGCCCGGACCCCAGCTCCTGCGCCCGCAGATCCCTTTCTAGAAGTCCAGCCCCGCTCATCCCCGCACACTCGCGGAAGAGCGTTTGTCTGGGCCCACCATCTGGCTATTGAGCTCTCGGCAGGGCAGGGTAAGGTCCGGGGGTGGAGTGCGGGTGCAGAGCAGGGTGCGGCCGGGGGGCGTCCGCTACAAAGGCGAAAATCATTTGTCAACCAGCGTCAGGAAATCTCCCTTGACAACAATGTTAACAAACAAAAAGTTAAACATATACCCCTTCTAAGCAAACCTTCCCTTGTCTCTAGGTGTTTTGTGGCCTCTTTGTGGCCAATTGTGCTCTTCTGGCATTTCCTGTTGACGACTATCGTAGTAATAATAGGGGCTTGTTAAGAGCCAGCGGTGCGGAGAAGTGTGCCGTCGTCACACTATGTTACCCCACATACAGACATGGAAGCAGGCTGGGAGTTAAGGAATTTGCCCAGGTCGCACAGCCAGTGAGGGGTAGATGGCAGTCTGAGCCCTCTCATTGCTGTAAACCCCGCCTGCATGCCTGTTGATTTCTATTTGTGTCCTGTACTCATTCAGGAGGTCAGTGTGCCTCGGGTTCACCTTCTCCTGGGCCTGTCCCGTGCACTGTGAGGTCCCTTTCAGCTCTGACCCTCCTACCGCCCAGGTAGCACATGCAGTGGATGAGCCGGGAGGCTTTCTGTTGTGGGTAGTTCTTTATCACCGCCGGCTTTTCCATCATCATCATCAGTGAACTCTCTGTGGCCTCGCTCAGGCCTTCCAACTTAGCTAGGATATTAGCCCCAATATTGGCTAATCCTGATACTGATGGTTTTAAATAAGAGCAGTTGACCAGGTGTGGTGGCTCACACTTGTAATTCCAGCACTTTGGGAGGCCAAGGCGGGTGGATCACCGGAGTTCAGGAGTTTGAGACCAGCCTGGCCAGCATGATGAAACCCTGTGTCTAATAAAAATACAAAAAATTAGCCGGGCGTGGTGGCGGGCGCCTGTGTTCCAGCTACTGGAGAGACGGAGGCAGGAGAATCATTTGAACCCAGGAGGCAGAAGTTGCAGTGAGCTGAGATAGTGCCATTGCACTCCAGCCTGGGTGACAGAGCCAGACTCTGTCTCAAAAAAAAAAAAAAGAAATAGGGTAGATATTTCAAACCCAACAGGGATGACTTTTGGATTACCGGTTACTTGGGAGTTGGTGTGGATAATGGAGAGGTGGCCACAAACTAACCACATCGCCCCCAAACAGCCACACACACTTACAGGCATGCAAACAGGAACGGAAAATGTGAGGTCTTTTAGAAATGTTAAGTCCAGTTGGTATTGCTCCCAAACATAAGACTGTGTTGGGAGTAGAGGGGTGGGTGGTGTTTCTGAGATGCAGATCCCCAGGCCTGGGATCCAGTGATGCAGTCCTCCGTGAATAGAGCTGTAGAATTGGCGTTTCTTGTTGTTATTGTTTGAGATGGAGTTTCACTCTTGTTGCCCAGGCTGGAGTGCAGTGGCATGATCTTGGTACCCTGCAACCTCCGCCTCCTGGGTTCAAGCGATTCTCCTGCCTTTCTCCTGCCTCAGCCTCCTGAATAGCTGGGATTACAGGCGCTCGCCACCATGCCTGGCTAATTTTTTTGTATTTTTATTAGACTTGGGGCTTCATCGTGCTGGCCAGGCTGGTCTTGAACTCCTGACCTCAGGTGATCCACCAGCCTTGGCCTTCCAAAGTGCTGAGATTACAGGTGTGAGCCACTGCGCCCGGCCTAGAATTGGCATTTCTAACAAGCTTTTGGGTGGTTCTTATGCACAGCTGGCCCCGGGAGCCCCTGGGCTGGGGATGATGGATTGTGGGAGCCCAGCTCATTAGGTGGGTTTTCTCCCCAGTGGGGGTCCAGGCTTTGCCAGACTGCCTGTGGCCTGGTGGGTCCTTGGCTTTGCCCCCATGGCAGCTCTGGAGCCTCACCAAGCCTCCAGGGCCTACCCTCCTGCCCAGCTCTGTGCCTGGCACCTGCGCTTCCTTCCTTCACACCCACTTTGGTGACCCTCACGGCTGCTTGTCCCCTTGAGGTACTTACACTCGCTTTCCAGGGAGGGTGCCCGATCTTCTGCCCTAATTGAGGGCAGGGCTGTCCCCACTCAAGCAGGAAACTGGAATGAAAGAACTGCAGCCCATTTTGCTAGGATTATTTTTGCTATTATATGGGTTGGCATTTCAGAAATTTTCAAGGATGGGGACAGAGGTCATCTTTCTTTATCCTGAGATTCTGCTGATACACTCAACTTGTAAGAGTCATCGCGAGTGTGTGACAGTCCTTTGGTGTGGACCCCCAAGGAAAGCAAGGTCTTGCCAGTTCCTTTCTCCCGCAGGATTTTTTTTGTATCAGTGAAATATTAAAACGTCTTAACATTTGTTTAGTGCCCCATATTTTATAAATACACATCTCTGTGCTTTGTTATTGTGTAATAATAATCCTCACGACACTGAGGTGGGTGGGATTGACACCAGTTTACAGAGGAGAGTGGGAGGTGCAGATTCCTTAGCACACGCGGCATTCCCGTTGTTTTCTAGATACCACCGACAATGGGTTGGGTGCTGTCGCCAACATCCCCGGAGGCGCGGTGCGGTTGCAGGACTCATCCAGGGTGCCGCAGCTGGTCTGTGGCAGAGAGGGCTTCTGAAGACTGCATGGCGCTTCTCTTACCCCAGATGCCACTGCGGGGGAAGTTGTGTCCGGACCACACGGTTGGTCTGTGGTGGCCCCATCCCTAGAAGCGTCCTCACTCTAAATCTAGATCTTTCCACTCCGGCTCCTTCCTGGTCCTTGCACAGCTCTGGCCCACAGGAGCCTGTGGTTGGCCAGTCCTGGATTTCTTGGGCAGAGCGGCTGGGGCTGGCAACTCCTAAGACCTCTCTAGAGGTCTTTCCTCTGGAGACCTCTGGCTGTGTTCATGGCAGCAGGGGCAGTCAGGGGCTGGCTCACAGTGAAAAAGGCTTCATTGCAGTTACCCTGCAAAGAGAAGAATTACTTGCCACGTGCTTATCCCTGACCCCCTCTTTTTCAGGTTTATTCATTGGGTATCTCCTTACTTGGGGGCACTTTGTTGGTTTGGTGAGATGAGTGACATTTTCCAAAATGGTGGTGCCTATCCTATCCTGTTCCAGTTGAGTAGGGGACTCAGCCTGAAGGCGGCAGCCCACTGTGGCTGTCCCACTCGCTTCCTCGGCTTCCAACATGAGGGGGCGGGGATTGTGTTTCATTTCCTGGGTACAACCTCACATTCCCATTTGCTGAGAGCCTGTGGCTTAGGAGATTCCCTGTGAAACCTGGCAGGAGAGCAGTGGCGGAGAAGACTGGGCTGAAGGAGGCCTGGAGCACACCAGTAACAAGAGCTACAGCAGCCTCACACGGCTTGGGGGCAAGTGACCGCTCCCACCGGAGAGGTCCAGAAAGCCAAGCTGCATAGGTCTTGGTTCAAAGTGGGGCCTTGCAGATTTGCTACAAGTCTCTGGTGGCCACTTCAGTGTCCATTTCAGCCATACTGTCGGTGCTTCTGGGCCCAGATGTCACCTGCCTCAGGGTCCCGGCACCCTCAAAACTGGGTTCTAACAGGAGAGTTTAATAAAGGGACACTCTGCAAAATGCAGGTGGGGCATAGAAGAACCACAGTGACTGTGGCTCGGACCAGCAAGGCTGCCACCTCTTCTGGGCCTGAGTCCGGGATGCAGCCGCTGCATCCTAGAAACAGCTGAGAGGGCTTCCTTCCAGGTTGGATGGCCACAGCCAGTCTGAGGGAGCCCTGCAGGGTCGGAGCTGGGGAAGGGGAACGTATCCTGACCTAGAGTCTCCACCTGCAGCTCCCACTTGTCCGAACCCACGGTGGGCTCCCTTTTATCTAACCCAGTGGGAGTCTTAGATAAGAGTGAGCCCACTGTGGATTCATGTAGTTGGTGGGGGCAGGGTGGAAAAGAGGGGGATTGGGGAGCAGAGGAAGGCTCAGTCCTGGACGGCAGGCTCAGTGGGGCTTTCCCAAGTGAAAATAACCCCTTGTGCTACAAGGGCTGGAGTAAGCCAGGTCAGCAGTGCCATCCCTGCCCCGTGTGGCCACCAAGGCAGCTGTCCAGTCCGTTGTCTGAAGCTGGGACACAGGGAAGGGAGACACAGCTTCCATGCAAGTCTGGGGCAACAGGCCCACTGCAGCCCACCGCCAGCAGAGACCTGCCACCACCAGGTCCGAAGCTCTGAGCTGCTTTTCCTGCATGGGGTGGTGAGGGAGGGAGCAGTTTGACTTGCAACTTCCAGTGAGTCCTCAGGGTGTGCAGGCGCTACCTTGGCAGAAAACTATCGGCCTCAGCATGTTCTTTGAACATAATAACTGCATCTTATCTGCATTCTTCATCCCTTCAGAAATATTTATTTTTAGTTTGGCTTTTTTGCTTATTCTGCACAATCCCTGCAGCCCCTGGAGGTACGATGAACCCGCCCTCCCCAATGCCTTCCCTCTTCTGTCCTGGGGTCCGCGGGGTTGGGGTGGGTGCCTCGTTGGGGTGAGGGCCTCAGCTCCAGGGGTGGCAGGCCTGGGTCCGCCTCCTCCGTGCTAGGGTGATCCCGCAGGCCTGGGTCAGTGGAGGCCTGGTTAGTATTCTGTGGAACATGGGAATTGGGGTTGGGGACATGCTCTGTTGGCCCGGCTCTGACCCGTGACTCACTCGGGTATGTGTTCAGATGTGGGTGACTGCTTGGAAACCCAGGGGAAGAGCCTATCCACAGCAGAACCCTGACCGCTGCGGGCCTCTGCTGGCTCAGTGCCAGGCTCTGCCACAGGGCAGAGGGCAGAGGGCATCAGGGCAGCCTGGCCCGGTTCAGAAATGGAGGGTTTCTTTAACCTTCATCATTGCCTGTTTTCTTCAATCTTTGTATGTATTTACATTATTTCAATTTGCCATCATCTGCATATATATCCTTTAATCCTTACACACATCATAAAGTGATCCCTCATTTCAGGTCTTCAGCATCTCTGGCTTCAGGCTTTAGTTCCACCAGGTATAGATGCCACAGCTCACTAGCTGCCATTGGCTTTTAAGTGCTTTTCTTGGCTTAACATACGACTTACTCCCGCGCTTCACCTTCCTGTGACTGAGATGGGGCAGGAGCAGCTGGGCTTGGCATCGGCCCCACAGGATCCTTAGGCAGGTGCCTGGCACCTGAATGCCCACAGCACACCTTGCCGCCTTTCTATCCTGGGTGTCTCCAGCCTGGATCTCTCTGCTGAGCCCTGCTGGTGGCAGCAGGGAGGGTGGGACGGATCTGTTCCCAGGGAAAGTTTATTGACAATCTTAAAATATTTTATAAACCCTCTGGGGTTGGCAAAAATCTAGCCTGTGTTTTGGCAAACACATTGCCCTCAATGTTTAAGCCGACATGTATTTTAAAGGAAACAGAATCTGCAGTTTCTTCAAATGTTGACTTAATCCGTGCATTGTTTTCTTAGCAGCCTGGTATATGCCCTCCAGGGAGACGGGAAAACTTTTTTGTTAAATTATGTTTCTTAGAACTCAGGACGTTGCGTTTTTCCAAGAGTAACTGAACTTAAACTCAGGGGGTCGGGGGAAGGGGTGGATGTGAATTGGCTCGAAACTACCCAGGAATTTTAAATCCCTGTCTACCCAATACCAGCTGTCTAAATGAAATTTTAAAATTCTATCAACATTCTTAGTGTAATCAGTACATTTCCCCAAATGTGTGGATGTTTGAATTCGTCCGTTGTCTCATCTGTAAAATGGCTCTTAGTTCTAACAGTCTTTTGATTTGACTTCCTGGTCCCTGAGTTCCTCAAATCCAGTTGGGCCTTCCTGTCCAACACGTTCTGCACCTGTGGGTTCATCCAACCACAGATGAAAACCATCCAGGAAGAAAAAAAAACTCCACAAGCCTCCAAAAAGCAAAATTTGGCTTCGCTGCTCACCGAGTACTACGTTGAATCCACACGAGTGAAGTGATGTGTAGGCATCGCAGTGGCTGTCATAAGTAACCTAGAGATGAATTAAAGTATGCGGGAGGATTGCATAGGTTATGGGCAAATGCCACGCCACAGGGACCTGAGTGTTGTGGAGTTTGGTATCTGCAGGGGATCCTGGAACTAATCCTTGATGGGTATTGGGGGACAACTGTGTACACACCATCTTTACCTGAAGGGAAGGCCCTACTAGCATCAGAGACCCTGAGGGCCCCCAGGGCTGCTAAGCAAGGCCTGAGGCATGAACACTGATCTGGCAGCCAGGGCAATAGTCAAGCTAACTGCACCCATGAGATAGAGTCCCAGCCAGCCGGTGGGGTAGCTCAGGTGCTGGGACCCCAGACATCGTGGCACGGCCCTTCACTCTTGGCCCTCCATTCTGGCCTCATCAGCCATCTGCTAAGCACTCAGACTCTGGCCTGGAGGCGCCCCATGGAGCCAGCCCTGCATGCCTGCTCTCCCAGCCGCTGTTCTCCCTACAGACACCGAGTCACCCTCTTCTGGTCCCCAGTGCTCAGGCACTGTGGTTGTATTCAGCGCCCACCTGGATAATCTAGGAAAATCTCCTCAGTCAAGGTCCTTAACCTCGTCACATCCACAAAGACCCCTTTCCAAGTAAGGTCACATTGACAGGTTCCAGGGATTAGGACCTGGTGTCTTGGGGCCGTCGTTCTGCCTACCACAGTATCTCTCCCCAGTGTAAGAAAAATAGTGAACATGCGCCGTTCCCTCTGCGGCTGCCTCTGTCCTCAGTCTGCGCTACATCCCGTGAGGCAGGCACTGTCCCCATCCCAGGTGAGGAAACGTGGAATGCAAAAGCTGAAAGGTTTGAAAAAGACTAAAAGAAGATGATAAAGAATGAGGAGGGAAGGAGATGAGGGAGGAAGGCAAAAGTGGAAGCCAAGGAAACAGGGTTTAAGGTGCAGGCGAGTACCCATGGATTGCTCCTGCTGCTGATGGCTGCTGTGAAACCTCAGTTCTTGTCTTCTTAGTTTAAAAGAATTGAAACAAGAGACACAGCAAAGGAGATGCAGCATAGAGCAATGTATTGCACAGGAGGAAGAATACCCTGAAAGTTAGGTGCAGAATAGACAGGATGCCCCGAGAGGGGAGTCAGGGTGGGCTGCCCATGAGGATGAGACAGCAGAGACCGGCTGGAGGAAGGATCCCTTTTTCGGAGTCTTACCTGTTTATTCGTGAGCAGGCGGGGAAGGGGGTTGCTGGGAAGCATGTTCTGTGTGCACATGCACAGTGGCTGTGCATCCCTGTTCATACGTCACATGTGTCACTGGCATCTTACATCTCCATGCAGGGCTGTGTTTTTACTATTGTAATGAGCAGAGTGTCACTCTGAGGACAGGTAAAAATCAAAGTGCACGTGCTCTCTACAGGGGAAAGTCCCTACTGGAGACAGCTTTGCTTGAATGAGCCTGCCTGCCGTGCAAATCCTGGGGCTTACTGTGTTGACGGTGCAGTCGCCATGGTTGCTGCATCCTGAGGACATGGTTACTTCCCTGACTATCTGTCCTGCCTCACTGGTACCCCATGCTTCCTGAGAATCACTCAGACTGAAGTCATTCTTTAAAAAGGATGAGTTGAGGGCTGGGCACGGTGGCTCACACCTGTAATCACAGCACTTTGGGAGGCCGAGGCAGGAGGATCACTTGAGGTCAGGAGTTCGAGACCAGCCTGGTCAACATGGCAAAAACCCATCTCTACTAAAAATACAAATAATTAGCCCAGTGTAGCAGCGGGCGCCTGTAATCCCAGCTACTCAGGAGGCTGAGGCAGGAGGATCACTTGAACCCGGGAGGCAGAGGTTGCAGTGAGCCGAGATCGCACCACTGTACTCCAGCCTTGTGTCAGAGTGAGACTCTGTCTCAAAAAAACAAAACAAAACAAAACAAAACAAAACAAATGCTAATTGACTCCAGCTTGTCTCAAACACTCTCTACATCCTGCTTTCTTCCCTTTTCAAACATTGTTCCCAGAAGAAAAGCAGCAGCTGGCATCCCCAGTATGCTCATCCCCAGTATGCTCAGTATCTCTCCTGTCCCTCATCTGCAGGACACGAAAGCTATGTGACCTTCTGCCAGCTGGAGGATGAGGCTGCCTTCACATGCAGCGCCGACTGCACCATCAGGAGGTGGGACGTGCTCACCGGGCAGTGTCTGCAGGTGTACCGAGGACACACATCCATTGTGAACAGGTCAGCCTGGCTGGGGGCTTGAGCCGAGTCTCACCATGGGCCCCTAGTGGGGCTGAGGGGTCAGAGATATGGGCCCCTGCACGTGAGGGCCCTCAGCTCTCTGGGGAAGTAAAAACGTGAACAGCTGGGTGGTGGTCAGTAGCACCCAGTGACGTGGACCCAGGACAGGTAGCAAGCTCAGTGCCCACGGCTGCATGTGGGGCAGGGAGGCAATGCCCATCCTCTGAACTGAGCCTGATGCTTTCCCCTTGGGGGCACAGCTGCTCCCCGCTGGGTGCAGGGAAAGGCACCAGAGCCTGCAGCTCGTATGAATGGGGACAGATTCCGTAGGAAATGGTTTAATTGAGACCCGATGGTGGACAAAGGTTTGCAGGAGGAGGAGCGTGGGGGATTGTTCTGAAGATGGAGTTGAGGGTATTTTTAAGCCTCTCCTTTCTTTGTGGCTGTGGAAAATATCCCAGCCCCTCCTTCTCAAGAAGGTTGGAATTGTTCCTTTCTCAATGAATTTGGGTCTGAGCTGAGCAATGGAAATTCCTTTGCTGATCAGATCAGTTGGACACTGTTGGAGTCACCTGTGGTGGTCGCCTCGGACTCCTGAGGGAAACCTCCTGGTGCCCCTCGGGCCTGGAAGCTGCACTGGAGGAGGGGCGCTGCCTGGAAGCTGACCCAAGTAAAGACAGGGTGGTGCAGGCTGGCACTGGGGGGGTCCTGAAGGTGGGGCTGGGGGCGCAGACCAGACAGGATGAACCCCGCCAGAGGGATGCTGCTGGTTGAGCTCTGACGGGAACCCCTACTCAGTGGACCAGCACAGGGGGGACAGGAAAGGCAGTGAGAGCCATCAGCCCAGCTCGCTGGAGTCCCAGATGGCTGTAGCCAGAACCGATAATCCATAGTCGGCGGGCAGGGAGCTGGGTGACACCCTGAGGAGGAGGCTGAAGGGATGTGGGGACTTCTTAGAGTGAATGGGGGGTATGCAGACATCAGGTAGGGTGCCCGACTGGCCCCAGCCTTCCTCAGCTGAAGCAGGTGAGGCCCTGAGACCTGCCCAGGCAGCCCACAAGGTGGTAAAGAAGGGGCCAGATAACTCAGGGCTCACAGCTCCACTGGCCTCTTCCCAGCACTCTGACTTCCCTGAGAAAGAAGTTTGCCAAGGAAGAGGAGAATGGGGCTGGGGAGCACCCTCCTATGAGTCAGGCAGAGGCTACGATGGGCTCAGCAGGGAGAAGGCCTGCCAGCAGTGACCAGTGGGCCCTCAGCTGCCAAACCCACAACTGTCAGATGCTTCTCAAAAGCAAAACTGGACCATTTAAGGTAGAAATCATGCTCGGCCAGGTTTACTCTTGCATGTGCACACACAACTGACACATACACACATGCACACACAACATACATATACACCATACACACAACTTACATACACATGCATACACAACATACATATACACCATACACACAACTGACACACATACACATGCATACACAACATACATATACACCAGACACACAACTTACGTGCACACACACACAACATACATATACAACATACACACAACTTACACATACACACGTGCACACATACACAACATACATATACACTCATACACAAATTACATACACATACAACATGCATACAACATACATATACACCATACACACAACTTACATACACATGCATACACAACATACATATACATCGTACACACAACTTACATACACATGCATACACAACATACATATACACCATACACACAACTTACGTGCACACACACACAATATATACAACATACACACAACTTACACATACGTGTACACATACACAACATACATATACACTCATACACAAATTACACGTATACAACATGCACACAACATACATATACACCCATACAACTTACATATATGCACACACAACACACATGCACACACATAGACACACAACTTACACAAGCAACAAAACATACACATATACACACAAAGTACATACAGGCACACATCACACACAGCACACATGCACGTGTACACACACGCACACACATACATATACACATGCACGCATGTACACATGTGCTCACAACACATACAAATACACACACTATTTTGGATCAGTCACGGCTCCAAACCCACAGCTCTGTGTAGATATTTGCATGATTAAGTAACTGTCCTCATAAATCAGTGAGATCCCTGAGGAACTCACTTCCTCCCGTGTTTTCAGAGCCAGGTCAGGCCTGTGAGCTTCGGGGTCACCGATGGCTCAGTGGCCTGGCGTCCCTGCTTTCTCATACCAGGCAGGACTCAGCCACCCCCTCCATGCCCCAAGGCCTCCCGCTGTGCCCTTCCTCCCACTACACCCTTTTCCTCCCGCACTTTGCCTCAGCAGCATCAAGGCATCATTTCCTTTAAAAATACATGTAGTCCCAGCTACTCGGGAGGCTGAAGCAGGAGAATCACTTGAACCTGGGAGGTGGAGGTTGCGGTGAGCCGAGGTCACGTCACCGTGCTCCAGCCTTGGCAACAGAGTGAGACTGCATCTCAAAAACAAGACAAAACAAAACATTTCGTGAAAATCATCCTATCTGGGTCTTAGGGAAGAAGCCAGCTGGAAAGGGGTAGTTGGCATTTGAGTGCAGCCTGTGTTGTTGAGCTGCTTGTGGGAAGTGAGGAATGCTGTTGGGACCCTGCGGAGGCGGGAGGCAGCAGGCTTGTCCCCTGAGTGGGTCTCCTGTCCACACCAGGCCGGCCGGCAAGCCCTTCTCGGGAGGGCAGGAAGAGCAGCAGGTCTGGCCGAGGTCCTGATTCAGGAGGGTCCCACCCTGGCAGGGATGCACCTTGCTCCAGCGCAGCCACGGCCGCATCCCTTGGCAGTCTCCTCTTCTGGGGTGCAGGGCTTCTTACCAAGGGTGTGTGTGCAGACCCCCTGAGGTTCTGTGCAAAGCTCTGCACTGAATGTGCAGCTACTGCAAATGTGTGTTTTTCTGGGGAGCTCTTGGTTTTCATCAAAATGAAAATAAGAGTGGTGAATACTGTGTGGGGGCCTTGGTCTCCCATGGTTGGTCAGTTGCACTGCATGGACGTGTTGTAACCGAGCGAGTTAGAGAGAAACGCCACACTTTGAGACAAATTCAGGAGTCCTTTATTAGCCGGCGACCGTGAGATGGCTAGTGCTCAAAATTCTCTCGTCCTGGAAGAAGGGGCTAGATTTTCTTTTATACTTTGGTTTAGAAAGGGGAGCGGGGGAGTCTAGCTGTAGCAATCTTCCAGAAGTAAAACAGGGAAAAAAGTTAAAAAGACAAATGGTTACAGGAAAGCAAACAATTCCAGGTGCAGGGGCTTTAAATCCATCACAAGGTTGGCCTTTGGGCGCTATCAACCGGACACAAACGCGGGGGCTTTCGGTACTATCGATCTGGCGAATTCCTGGGAACTGCAGATGTAGCTTGCCACAACATCAGTTAATTGCACAGCAATTATCAGTTAATTGCATTCTTTGATGTGCTGGGAGTCAGCTTGCACAAGTTAAGTCCTTGAGGAAGGGTGGGTAAGGAACCCTTAATGTCTTGCAAATGAAGGAGCCAAATGGAGTCCATCTGTCCAGCTTTCTCTGCTAAGGGAGAGTCAATTAGGTTAATACAAGTTAGGGTATCACAGACGGACCCTCTTGGCTACCCAACCCCCAGTTCCCAGCCCTGTGGCTGGAACCCTGTTGAGGCTGTGACCTCAGTCTGCATGGGGATTGCCATGAGAGCTGGCAGCAGAGGCCCCCACTGGCTGTGGCGTGATTCCTGGCTGTGCCTCCCACAAGCACCCCTGGGTGCACTATGGGAGTTCCCAGCGCTCTCCAGCCTCGCAGGGCCCTCATCTGAAGTGCCCCGGCCCAGCCCCTTGAGCCGGCCCTGTTCCCAGGGTGACCAGCATGTCCCACTCTGCCCTGGACTTTCTCAGTCTTAGGCTGAAAACCCTGCATCCCCAGAAGGTTTTCAACTCTGGGCAAGCTGGGAGGGCTGTGCTCCCCTACCTCCTCCCCCTACCCCCTCCCCCTACCCCCTTCCCGCTGCTCCTGGAGAGCTGCTGTGGGGATGTTGGAGGGATCCCAGCAGAGTATATAAGCTTGGTCCCTGCTACAGGTACCTGCCTAGGGGCAGGCAAGGAAGGGTGGGCATGAGGGGAATCAGGGTGGCTTCCTGGAGGTGGGGGCAATTTGAGCTGGACTTTGGAAGGTGAGTGTGGCAAGCTGGGCAGACACAGGGAGAGGTTATTTTAGCTGCAGTGCTGAGCATGACCCGTTGGGAGGCTGTGTAGATTCTGGAACCTGTGCCTTCTGATCCCTCACCCCTTCCCTCTTGCCCCCAGGATCCTGGTTGCCAACAACCAGCTCTTCAGCAGCTCCTACGACCGGACAGCTCGGGTCTGGAGCGTGGACAAGGGGCAGATGTCCCGGGAGTTCCGGGGCCACCGAAACTGCGTGCTGCCTCTAGCCTACTCTGCCCCGTGGGACTTCCCCAGCGCTCCCTGTGTGGAGGAGGCCGTGGCTGGGGGGCTCCTGGTGACTGGCAGCACGGACGGCACGGCCAAGGTATGGCAGGTGGCCAGCGGCTGCTGCCACCAGACACTGCGGGGCCACACGGGCGCAGTGCTGTGCCTGGTGCTGGACACGCCCGGCCACACGGCCTTCACGGGTAGCACCGACGCCACCATCCGTGCCTGGGACATCCTGAGTGGGGAGCAGCTGCGGGTGTTCCGGGAGCACCAGGGCTCCGTCATCTGTCTGGAGGTGAGACTGTCCTGGTCCCCACCCAGCTGCCAGGGGAGCCCAGGTCACCCCCTGCACTGCCGCCCTGCCCTAGGTGTCCGTGATTCGGCTGCATAACAAAGCGCTGCAGATGGGGGCCTGGCAAGTGCCACAGAGGCCTCGCGGTCCTGGGGCTGGGAGTCCAAGATACAGGGTCCGCAGGATTGGTTTCTGGTGAGGCCTCTCCTTAACCTGTAAGCGCTGCTTTCTCCCTGTCCTCGTGTGTGTGTGCGTGTGTGTGTGTGTGTGTGTGTGTGTCCTAATATCTTCTTAGAAGGATACCAGTCATACTGGATTAGGGCCCCCTATGAACTCATTTTAACTCAACTGCCTCTTTAAAGACGCTCTTTCCACAAGGCCACATTCATAGGTACAGGGGCCAGGTAGGGCTGCAACATGTGAATCTGGGGTGGGCACGACGTAGCCCGTAACACTCAGCTTCTGGATCTGCATGCTGGGCCAGGGCTGGGGCACATCCTGCCTGCAGGGCGCCTGGAGCAGGTGTTGACTGTTGTCCTGGTTTGTCTTTGTGCTGTCAGGCTGAACACCGGCAGCCTCCTGGGCTCCGTCCTCCTGGCCTGGGGACTGGGACGTGGCCTGTCATGCTGTAAGCCGACAACCAAGATAGAGGAAACACACAGCGCTGTAATGGTGTAGCCTTGTGGGATGTGGGGTTGCTGCCCCGTCTCTGTTGCCTCCCCTGGACAAGCCACCCAGCCTCTGTGGGCCTCAGTTTCCTCACATGTACAAGGAGGATTACACCCCTTCTTAATTCCTAAATCCAAAAAATTCCAAAAAGTTCCAAAAAACAAAAAATTTTTTCTTAAGCTTGACACGAAAACTCTTGGTGGCAGAGTCTGGCCTGAAGAGACGTGTGACTGTGTGCGCTTCCGTTATCCGAGTGCCTGAGGGTCCTCACACCTTTACTGCAGATGCAGGAGTGTGTCTGTAAGCCAAAAAATCCCGAAACGCGTGGTCCCAAGGTTTTGGATAAGGGATTATGGTGTGAAGTTGCCCCATCCGTGGGCTTGTGGGGATTTGGTGAATCAATGGAAGATGCATGGACAGTGCTGCCAGGCAGCCCTTAGCCGCCGTGACTGCAACCATCCTTGCTGCTGTTGTTGTGAAGGACCTAACGGTGTGCCTGGCCGGAGGACCTGTTGGGTGTGATCCCCCACGCTGGGGTCTAGATGTTCCCGGCTCGGTCTTGGCCAGCCTCTGCCCTGCTCCAGGGCGGGCCCGACCCCTGAGGCAAGTGGTTGGGGTGCATTGCTGCCAGCACCTGGTGCTCAGTGAAGCCGCAGATGTGAGGGACAGACTCCGGGCGACAGGGCTGGAGTTGGGGCAGCCCTGAGCAGGCGTTGCTGTGCTCAACCCCACAGGAGAGCCAGGCCAGGGACCCCATTTGGGGTTCTGGGGGTAAGGGCAGCCCCAGGGCTCTAAGACCAGGGGAGCAGGGAAGGGCTCACTTTCGCGTGGAGGGAGGGTCACCCAGGTCCCTGAGATGCTGGGCTTTAAAGACCCTCTTTCCACAAGGCCACATTCATAGGTACAGGGGCCAGGTAGGGCTGCAACATGTGAATCTGGGGTGGGCACGACGTAGCCCGTAACACTCAGCTTCTGGATCTGCATGCTGGGCCAGGGCTGGGGCACATCCTGCCTGCAGGGCGCCTGGAGCAGGTGTTGACTGTTGTCCTGGTTTGTCTTTGTGCTGTCAGGCTGAACACCGGCAGCCTCCTGGGCTCCGTCCTCCTGGCCTGGGGACTGGGACGTGGCCTGTCATGCTGTAAGCCGACAACCAGGATAGAGGAAACACACAGCGCTGTAATGGTGTGGCCTTGTGGGATGTGGGGTTGCTGCCCCGTCTCTGTTGCCTCCCCTGGACAAGCCACCCAGCCTCTGTGGGCCTCAGTTTTGTGTGGAGGAGGCCGTGGCTGGGGGGCTCCTGGTGACTGGCAGCACGGACGGCACGGCCAAGGTATGGCAGGTGGCCAGCGGCTGCTGCCACCAGACACTGCGGGGCCACACGGGCGCAGTGCTGTGCCTGGTGCTGGACACGCCCGGCCACACGGCCTTCACGGGTAGCACCGACGCCACCATCCGTGCCTGGGACATCCTGAGTGGGGAGCAGCTGCGGGTGTTCCGGGAGCACCAGGGCTCCGTCATCTGTCTGGAGGTGAGACTGTCCTGGTCCCCACCCAGCTGCCAGGGGAGCCCAGGTCACCCCCTGCACTGCCGCCCTGCCCTAGGTGTCCGTGATTCGGCTGCATAACAAAGCGCTGCAGATGGGGGCCTGGCAAGTGCCACAGAGGCCTCGGGGTCCTGGGGCTGGGAGTCCGAGATACAGGGTCCGCAGGATTGGTTTCTGGTGAGGCCTCTCCTTAACCTGTAAGCGCTGCTTTCTCCCTGTCCTCGTGTGTGTGTGCGTGTGTGTGTGTGTGTGTGTGTGTGTCCTAATATCTTCTTAGAAGGATACCAGTCATACTGGATTAGGGCCCCCTATGAACTCATTTTAACTCAACTGCCTCTTTAAAGACGCTCTTTCCACAAGGCCACATTCATAGGTACAGGGGCCAGGTAGGGCTGCAACATGTGAATCTGGGGTGGGCACGACGTAGCCCGTAACACTCAGCTTCTGGATCTGCATGCTGGGCCAGGGCTGGGGCACATCCTGCCTGCAGGGCGCCTGGAGCAGGTGTTGACTGTTGTCCTGGTTTGTCTTTGTGCTGTCAGGCTGAACACCGGCAGCCTCCTGGGCTCCGTCCTCCTGGCCTGGGGACTGGGACGTGGCCTGTCATGCTGTAAGCCGACAACCAGGATAGAGGAAACACACAGCGCTGTAATGGTGTGGCCTTGTGGGATGTGGGGTTGCTGCCCCGTCTCTGTTGCCTCCCCTGGACAAGCCACCCAGCCTCTGTGGGCCTCAGTTTCCTCACATGTACAAGGAGGATTACACCCCTTCTTAATTCCTAAATCCAAAAAATTCCAAAAAGTTCCAAAAAACAAAAAATTTTTTCTTAAGCTTGACACGAAAACTCTTGGTGGCAGAGTCTGGCCTGAAGAGACGTGTGACTGTGTGCGCTTCCGTTATCCGAGTGCCTGAGGGTCCTCACACCTTTACTGCAGATGCAGGAGTGTGTCTGTAAGCCAAAAAATCCCGAAACGCGTGGTCCCAAGGTTTTGGATAAGGGATTATGGTGTGAAGTTGCCCCATCCGTGGGCTTGTGGGGATTTGGTGAATCAATGGAAGATGCATGGACAGTGCTGCCAGGCAGCCCTTAGCCGCCGTGACTGCAACCATCCTTGCTGCTGTTGTTGTGAAGGACCTAACGGTGTGCCTGGCCGGAGGACCTGTTGGGTGTGATCCCCCACGCTGGGGTCTAGATGTTCCCGGCTCGGTCTTGGCCAGCCTCTGCCCTGCTCCAGGGCGGGCCCGACCCCTGAGGCAAGTGGTTGGGGTGCATTGCTGCCAGCACCTGGTGCTCAGTGAAGCCGCAGAAGATGTGAGGGACAGACTCCGGGCGACAGGGCTGGAGTTGGGGCAGCCCTGAGCAGGCGTTGCTGTGCTCAACCCCACAGGAGAGCCAGGCCAGGGACCCCATTTGGGGTTCTGGGGGTAAGGGCAGCCCCAGGGCTCTAAGACCAGGGGAGCAGGGAAGGGCTCACTTTCGCATGGAGGGAGGGTCACCCAGGTCCCTGAGATGCTGGGTGGGGCATGTAAACCCCACGTCTCTAACTCAGCTCCCACCTGAGGACATTGGGACGGGTGGACAAAGAGAAGGAAATCAGCAAATGCTGTGAGATGAGGGGCTTGGGAGGGCAGCTCGTTGTGGGGAAGGGGCACAGCGGTACAGGCCCAGCTCACAGGGTCTGTCTGCACAGGTTTCCCTTGGCCTCGGCCCCACCTCTGGTATAAGAATGTTTCTGTTTCTTGATCTCCTGTTTTCAGGAAGGAAGGGAAGGTCAGGGTGCGCTGCTCGCATCTGTTTTTCACGTTCGTTTAACTCGACATCATCCTTATGCTGAAGGGGCGTGTCTTGGGGAGCACACTCCACCACTCTTCACGCTCCCCAGCCTCCCTCCGTGTCCTTACTTGTCAGATGATGGTGGGGATAACAGCTCTCCTAGTCTCCCAGCATCCCCGTGAGAGTCGGCACTAGTGGCCGAGACTCGTAAAGAGCTGGGGGCATCTGAGGCCTCTTTCCTGGCAGGCAGTTCCGTGGCGGGCAGTGTGGAGTGAGGCTGAGACCTCCCCACCTGGCTCATGTCTGTGCTCTGAGCTTGCTGGGGCAGGGGGTCGGGAGGGGAAGGGCCGGGAGTTCGCTGGGAGGCCTGTCCCAGGTGGAGCTGGTGACTCGCCCTCATGTCGCCAATGAAAGAGAGGAACCAGCCCAGGCATAGAGAGGCCACTGGCCAGGTGGAGGCAGGTGCTGGACCGACCGGGGAGAAAAGCAGCACTGTCCTCCCAGGTGACAGCTGCCCCCACCCCAGGGGTGACGGGATCCCGCAGGTTCGCTCCCCGGGCTATTCCGTACGGTCTCTGTGCTGTTCTTCCCGGAGAGTGGGAGCATAGGGTGTCCTGGCAGAGAGTCAGGAAGGCAAAAGGAGAGAGTGCAGGGGGCCAGCTCCCACCCCACACACCTGTGTGCACACACTCCACATGCACACCCCACAGGCACACATGCACACACGTGTGAACACTGCACAGACACAAGCCACACACGTATATGCATGCCCACGAACATGCCACGCAGGCACACACGTCGACGGGTGTGAGAGAGAGCCCCTGAGGGGCAGAGGCTCTGGCTGTGGACTCTGCCTTTGTTCTCTTTCCCTTTGAAACTTAGGCAGCCCCACAAAGCAATTTGAATGGGAAGAGGAGTGGGGACAGAAGGTGCCCATGGGAACAGCCAGGGACAGCCTGGCCCAGGTGGCCAGTGGGGCTCAGCCCTAGCAGAAGGGTGGGGTGCAGGGAGCCAGGACTGAGGAATGGGGAGCTATGGAGACGGGCAGGGCTGCCATGAGGGCTGAGACCCCCTAGGAATGCACTGGGGGTGGGAGGTTCTGGGAGGTGGAGGTGAGCCTCTCAGGACCATTAGGTCTCGTACAGACAGAAGGAAGGCAAGAAGGCAAGGAAGGACCTAGCAGGCGCCTGGGTAGCAGCCCCACGGTGTGCAGGGTGCACAGCCTGTGACAGGCCTGGGAGGTCCCTGGGCGGCCGGAGGCCCCAGAGTCTCAACTTCTGGTAGTGGCAGGGGTGGAGTTTGCCTCCTCTGTTAGACTTGGCCTCCCCACCTGGGAGCCAGGCCCGCGAGATGAGCGAGTGAATGGGCGGCGCTCCACAGGGGTCGGAAGCTGCAGGAGGCATGGACAAGGCCACCCCCTGGGTGGGGGCTTCAGGGGTTACATGTTCTCCACACAGGGATGCTCTCACGGTCGAGGACTCTGGGGCTTTACCCCTGTAAAACAAACCCTAAGTTCCAGTGTAAGTCCCCTTCAGGGAGGGGGTTCCTGTTCCCTGATGAGGAGTCAGTGGAGGCTGGGTGGGGGTCAAGGTGTATGAGAGGCTTGGGGAGCCGGGGTCACATGGAGAGAGGGCCTTGCTGGCCGGCTGGATGGGGGCGTGCAGGCAGGAGAGGGGACATGGCCCAGGCGTGGGTACAGGGGAGCATCAGGCTGCAGTATAGGCTGGGGCCCCCGGTCAGAGCTGGGGTCCAGGACGTCCACTCTTGGGGAGCACATGGCTGGCTCCAGCCCGGCTGTTGCGTCTCAGCTGGGCACTCCTTGCCCTGCCCTGAGCATCCGAAGGGGCTGGCAGAAGGAAGGCAGCACACGCCTTTGCAAAAAGAGCAGCTGGCACTGAAGGCAGCCAAACGTCTGGTGGTTTGGTCGCTGCTCAGGTGGTCACTAAGGTAACTATTCAGTGACAGCCCGCTTCACTGGGGAAGGCTTGGTGGCTGAGGTAGAAGAAGGGCCTCCATTGCCCAGGACGGTGGGATAAGGTGTCAGCCTCACGGTGCATGGGAGGGGGCCGAGGAGGAGGGGTGTCCCTGTCCTTTGAGTTCTAGATTCTAGGTAGACAAGGGTTTCTTTCAGTTTGTTCCCACCATCTGCCTGATTGTTCAGCACCTTCTTAACCCTTGGGAAATCTGTTGGGTGACATTTTGGTGCATCCAAGTGTGTTGTAACTGCCCACGTTTAAGAGTCCCTCTTTCTCCCCATCACAGGGTGGGGAAGGCACCTTTTCCCACTCCTCCAGATCTGCCTTTTGAAAAGGACTGTCAGGCCCCAGACCCGGTGCTCAGAGAAGCAGAATCCAGTCGGCCCCTTGGCCTCACTCAGGCTCCCAGCTCACCCAGCTGCGTGTGGGGGACCATGCTGCCCACAGAAGGGACCATCTTGCCTTTCTCTTCCCTTGTATATGATTTCTTTCACCTGACACCACTCAGAACATTGGAGTTTTGCAGGGGTTAGAAGGCTGCTGTCTTACAAGCTAGGTTTGATTGGGGCAATGGGACATTTCTCACACTGTCCTAAACACAGATTCAGGGGCAGGGAGCCAGGGCAGGAGGCCGGCCTCATGAGCAGATCTGGGAAGCAGGACTTCCGGGTCTGGCGTCCCCTAGCCCTCGCTGGTGCCCGCCCCCACGGGTGGCTTCGTCAGCTCTCCCTCCTGCCCTCTGTGGCTTCTCTGACACAGGGCCATCGCCGCCACAGCCTTCATCAGACGGGCTGGAAGTGTGGCTCATGATCTGCCTTTCCAGAAGGGCCTGATTGGCCCTCTCGGGTCCAGGAAGCACAAGAGGGGGACCCACAGGATCAGCTGGGGCCTCCCTTTCAACCATTTTCAGTGTTTACTCAGTGGCGTGAAGCACGTTCACGGTGTTGTGCAAGCATCATACCATGATTTCCAGAATCAGAACTCTGTTCCCCATCAAACACTGACTCTGACTCCCCACTGCCCGGGCACCTGCCCTTCTGCTTTGTGTCTCTGAATTTGATGACTCTGGGTCCTCACATGAGTGGAGTCTTGCAGGATCTGTCCTTTCCTGTCTGGCTTATTTCATGAGCGTAAGATCTTCAGGGTTCATCTGTGTTGTGGCGTATGGTGGGATTCTCTCCTTTTTCCGTGGCTGATAAATATTCCCTGGTGTGTGGACACCACGTTTCGCTTAT